TTTGTGGTTGTTTTGTGTGCCTAAGTGACCATTTTCATTACCTAAAATTAAAGGTATTCAGTGTTTTACCCTGATTGTTCTTCACAGGGTGGAAAAAGCACGATGTTGGATTTTCTACTAAAATCAAGATTCATTTGTTTTTTTGGGTTGTTTTGCTGTTTAGTACTGCAAGGTGACTCCCATCAACTGTGTGAAAACTGCCTTTAAATCAATTTTAAATCTGAAGAAGAATCACTACCAAATAAATTTCTCACAGTCTTTTATGTAAACGCTTTAAGTAATTTGCTGTAGCTTCCTGGAAACATGTCAGTTTTTGTATCTGGAAGCTTCATCTCTTCTTAAAGTGCTTCTGATTCACCAGACATGAGATGTGTTTTACTCGTGAGCTTCTCGTTGATTTGTGCACATCAGAACCTTTTAATAAATATATTTTCTTCTTTCATTACTTCAGACGCATTCTACTGTTCTATTTATTGGTTCCTGTCCATGTTGCACATGATACAGACATTTAATTGCTGGATTCATTCCTGATGACCATTTTACATATTGCTTTGTTTATTTTGTATTCATCACAGTTACATTCTGTATGTTGGTCACATGAAATTTCCACTTCCTGTTGGTTGTGAAAGCATTAATTTAATACCCTGCCAAACTTAAAATATGTAAAAAATGAAACCAGTCATCTGTGATATAAAACTGGGACATAAAAAGCATTGTTCAAATTCAGGATAAAGAATCATTTCTGACTATTCAGGGTTTATTTTTCTACTTCGATTTATTTGGTCAACATCATTACACATCAATACAATACAAAAAATGCAACGTGCATGTTTGTTTTCAAATATCAAACTATTTATCTGTGAATTATCATTAACATTACGTGTTCCACTTTTATTTAATTGCCTAGAATCTTAAATATTTAAGAAAGGACTGTGTCAGAGGGTTATATAATGTATTATAAAAAACTTCTTTGCATCTATTTGTTGTATTTTTTGTGATTTTTGCACTGTTCTGATGTAATTATTTTAGAAAAGTAAGAAAATATTCACCAAAAAAATTAAAGAAGACGAACATGTTTGAAAAATACAGTTGGCGGTAGCTTTTTACATCTGTGTTATTTATATGGATGTTTTTTAAGAAAAGCATGGTGTATTTTTAGTTCATATGTAGACATATATATATAAAAAAATTTTATGAAACATATACTGTATTTTGTATATATTGTGTATTTATATTATGTGTTATATGTGGCTTCCCCCATCAGCAGCAGCCCCATCTCCGGAGGGGGAGGTTGAAGGGGGAGGTGGGGGTGAGGACCCCTCTGCTCCTCCTTTGGGGACTGGCGTGTGGGCACATGAAACAGCTGGTGTGCTCCAAAAACCAATTATAGAGGCCCCTGGCCCCCTGCCTGGCTGCCTGTAAGGCTGGGCAGGGGAGAGTGTGATCGTTAGCACCCACAGATGAGTCTCAACAAGGAATGGTCAGATGGGAGACCCAGCAGGCTCAGGATATAGATTTGGACTGTGCAGATGGATGTATAGGTGGAAAATTGTAATTTCAGATGCAGGGAGGCTGTGATGTTTTATTTACACTGTACATTGAGAGCAGAGGTCCTGACCAGAGCACTGTACAGATTTGGGGGTTTTCAGGCGTGAGATACGGTCATATATGTTGCATAACGAGGGAAAGCACAGGTTTTGATAACAATATGAAATGAAAATAAGTACGTAAGCAACCCAGGTTTCATCATTTAGTGGACGAGCTTCCTTTCAATCATTGTAACTAAAAGCTTGTGCAACAGTTGTAGTTCCTTTACTTCCTATTGTGCTCCGGGATTGATCTGTCTCATAAAGGGGGTCTGACTAGCTCAGGTGTTCGATGCAGCGTGCTATTGATTCCCTTCCTGCTGGACGTTGTTAAACTTTTCAGCAGGGGAGCTGAATGAGATCCACAGGAGCCAGCCTCATTTTTAAAATACACTTCTTTTTGTCCCTTTGTTTGACACCATAAGAATGATGGACATTGATTTTAAGCCCTGCGTGTAGTCTTACTATGATGGGAAATTATAAGTGACTGAGGATTTTGTAGTTAAGATAATCAGCTGATATTTTCATGATCTACTGGCTAAAACAAATACTGAGTTAGCCCTTCTGATAGTAGAGAACAAATACAGGACTGTTGAAATTATAAATAGATTTGGGCCTGTCAGTGGTGTGAATTGGATTCTGTGAGGGTTATCAGGAACACTGATAATATATTGATAAAACACAACGCATGTTAGTTCCCTCATTGTCCCTGGTGTTTTATCAATCCACCCTCCATTTATTTATTTTATGTCTACTCTGTAGATTAGTGCTTGTCTCATTTGGTTTCTTGGTGTCTCTGTACCTGTTTTTTAAGGTTCATTGTTGTCCTGCGTCTTCTGTCAATTGCTTATGTTATTTTATTTAATCCCAGTAGCCATTCTCTACATGAGACCTTTGTCTCCTGCCAGGCCATTATTGTAAATTAGAATCTGTTTATTAATTAACTTGCCTGGCAGAATTAAGGTAAATCAAATAATAATAATAATAATTACCAACATAGAGACAGGTGTTTAGTGAAAAAGTGATTTTTTTTTATCTGATGATGGCTCTAAAAGAAAGTTAAGGTGATCAACAAAGTTATTAGGCTACAACTACTCCTGACTGGGGAACATGAATGTCTTCATCAAATTTTGACGACGTTCTATCTAAGAACCGATTAGACATTTCACTAAAAGCCCCAAATGCCTAACTGCTGGTGGCTTTAGAATAAAAGCCAGGGGATCATCAAAGCCACTAGTCTACATCTTCTGAGGAGAATTAATGTCTTTATTAAAGTTCATGACATTAGCTCAGTCTGTGCTGGACTTGAACCGGAGAGTTGCTGGTTCAAGTCCAGCACAGACCACTGCCGAAGGTGCACCTGAGCAAAGGCCACGAACCCTCGACTGGGCGCTGCACAATGGCTGCCCACTGCTCCTAATTAGGATGGTTTAAATGAAGAGAACAAATTCTGCAGGCATTGTACTGTGTATAAGTTATATGTGGCACTAAAGTTTATTATTATCATCATGTAATAGTTGTTGAGATATTCAATAGATGCTAGCTCATGGCTAAAAACTAAAAAATGAGGATATGAACAGACAATTATTGTTTTAAAATAAATCATTGCCATCCCCCAAAGTCACATCATATCATGGCTTATGCTCCAGATGCAAATATAAATTAATAAAAAACTAAAAACAAATTAAGATGTCCACATTCTATAAAATACTATCTACTAGCCATTGTTTATCCTTAGAGTTAAGAGAGTTTGGGTAGTTTGTCTTGATGTTTGCTCTTCACACAGATTATCACTTATTTGAGTAATCAGTCTATAAAGACAACAGAAAGTCATCAGAGGCTCTACAGCCCCACTAGGAGATAAAGTAACTCTGAGACCAGTCAGAAAGGTCAGCGTGGGTCAACATAATCCCCTGTCACACACACACACACACACACACACACACACACACACACACACACACACAAGCGTGAATGCTTGCACATAATCCCCACACACAGGCTCACTGAAGCCCAACACAGACATCACAGTCAGTGTGATGAATAAGTTATCAGCAGCCCTAAATAATAAATGATACATATTATTATCAGCTACAATGGTGTGAGTTTAGTGTTTTTTCCTTTGGCTTTATAGGGCAGAGCAAATAAACTGATTAATGCGGTGAGAGACCACAGATCCGTTCAGCAGGAAGACTTAAACCTCGTCCTGAGCAGCTCAGATGAACTCCTCCGGCTGAACGTGTTAATGGTGTGTGTCAGTATTTGGCTGCGAGGTGTGGGATGGCTCAGTGCTGTATGACACACTTTTTTTATGGCTCTTTGGCATCCAGCATCTTTGGGTGTCCCACAAGTTGTTCACAATCAGCTGTAAAGAGTATTAATATTCATGAACACACCAAACTTTTATCCGAGAGCTTGTCTTTACATATATTTAACCTTTACTGGAATTGGTTTGACCAATTTTATTCTGTCCAGTTGATGTCTCTTGTTATCTATATAGTTTATAATTGATTAAATGTTATATTTGTTTGTTTGTTTGTTAACCTGGGTTTGGACAGGTGCTCTATACATAAATATTATTATGTCAGCAGGTACAGAGTGTCTGTATGAAATATACCAGCAGCTGGCCAATTTGGACTAATTCCAGCCAACACATCCCAATTTGGCATTTATTTGTTACAGGCCTACCATTAGTTAATAACAACTTAAATGTTTCCCATCAGGCTAATTCAACTGCAAGGTGCCCACTCAGCTGGTTTATGGACAGTCAGGTAGGGAGCTAGGGGCCTTTAATTGTGTTTTTTGTCTCAGTCTTTGAGACAAAATTATTTGCAAGGATTACATATATTTTCTTGCTCTTTAGTTTCACAATAATTTTACGACCCCTTGTGGCATCTCGACCCCCCCCCCCCAAACCAAGGCTGGATCTCCAACTGGGGAAAGTGGGCAACAAAAGCTCCAGGTTCACTGCATGTCTTGTTATTTTAATAAGCTTACTGGTACATCTGTTATGGAAATTGTACCAACAGAGTAAAATATCAGGAGAGGCAGGTTCTGCATTGTGTAAATTAATAATTATGGATCACTGAATCACTGGATTAATCAAGCAATCAGGGATCTAATATATATATAATTATAATAGGCTATATAAGAGGCTATAAGAGCTCTAAAAAGGCTCTCCATTATGTTTTCTGTGGCACAAATAAAAAAGTTTCCAGTCAAATAGCCTACATGATGTGTGGCTGCTTTTAATTGGAAGAGTTTGGATACTGTAGCACAATCAGATGTATACCTATAGGTGAGAACTGGGCCAGTTCAAGCGCCCCCACAGGTGCATTTTTGCGGTGATCACGTGTGGACCCGCCCCGCCCTGCAGCCTCCAATAAAGCACTGCAAAAGTCACCGCTCCCCTTCCATCGTGGAAGCAGCAACACAGCGAGGCAGGCGCAGAGGGGCTACGGCAGGGACGTAAAACGAAACCAAGGAAGCATGTGTGTGTGTGAAGGCGGCGCACAAAGATGATTAATTAGTAAAAGAAAGGTCTCGGTAACTGGACGCCTCAGCTGATCTGTGCCCGGGGCTCAACAGAGGACACCGGCGCATGCAGAGGTTATGCACTGAGAGAAGGCCAGGTAAGTCAGACGCTACTTTGCACGCGTCCCCTGCTCGCTCTCGGTGCAGTTGTGCGTCAGCGTTTTCAGTTTGAATCATGAAGCTAATATAGTACAGGCTATGCGTGCCTACGTTTGTGTATCCGGGGGGGACTTGAGTCCGTGACAGACGAGCTCACAAACTCAGCTCCCGCTTTGGCATCCATAATTTACGAGCCGCAGCCAGGCTGTGGGGAGATCCGCGACACACGCAGGTTCACAGCATCAGGAGGCGCCTGCAGGCGACATGCGCGCTGTCCACAGACCCCCAATGTGTCCGGGCGACCATTAGGCTAGTGCATCCATGAATACTGCCCGAGTGATTGGATCAATTTTAAAGAGCGCCTGTGTGTGTGCAAAGTGCAGGCACTGACAATGAGAGGCGATATCTTGCTGCATCCACGGCTGTTATCACTGGAGAGCAGATAACAAACCGCCCAATTTACGATCAACTCTGATGATTTGTTTTTCTTCTTAGTGATTTTATCTCGTTTGTCTTAATGCCGATAAAACGTGAAACACTATTTGAGAGGTACTGTCATGCTTAATTACGCCTCAAAGCATTGTGCTTCAGTACAAGAGTTTTAGGGGATCTATAATAATTTACCACACTGATCAGATTATTATATTGCCTTTAATTCTTTTTAGTTTAGTCACTAGATTCAGTGTAAGAAGGACTTTCAGTGGCAGAGCAGTCACATCAGATGCACGCACTTGATGATTTAGTGAAGTAACGCCCCTGTTTCCGCCCCTCTCTTCTCTCTCCCTCTGCAGTTTTAGGCTGCAGCGTCACTGAGGCAGCTCTGTGCGCACTGGAAATCCGGGATTCAATTGGTAGAAGCAGGAGGGGAGCCCCGGTCTCTGCCACTGCAGGAGGAGCAGAGTTGCAGCAAAGGCAGACCGAGAGAAAAGAAACGCCGCCAAGACGGCAGTAGCAGCAGCCTTCGCAGTTTCGACAACGGCACAGCCTCCTCTGCTGCACGGCATGAGGGACCAAACTGCGCACTGAGTCTGCAGGAGGCAACGCTGCAGCTGCGTAGTTTGTTAGACACAAACAGACACAAGAGTGCTCGGGACCTGTACAGGAATTTGACATCGGAATTAGGCCTAACCTGTCACTGACCACAGCTGCGACATTTGGTTTCCTCACAGAGAGTTGATCATCTCTCCCCTCCGGGGAGCCCTGTGCTGTGGCCTTGTAGCGGACATGGGAAAAGTAAACAGTAGTCGGGCTGGATTTTAAACTACGCACACGTCCAGCGTCCTCCTCCCGCCTCCTCCTCCTCCTTCTCCTCCCGGGGCGTCCGAGATGGAGACGGAGAGGGTCGAGCCGAAGCAGGAGGGAGAGGCAGAGCCGCCCATGCACAGCGTCCACGGAACCAACCGGATCAGACCGTCCTCCTACCGGGCCCTGCGCAGCGCCGTGTCCAGCCTGGCCCGCTTAGATGACTTCAGCTGCGAGAAGATCGGCGCTGGGTTCTTCTCCGAGGTGTTCAAGGTGAGAGAGAGAGAGAGAGAGTGAGTGTAAGTTAAACACAAGCTTCGTGTCTTGTTGAGGACACGCTCAAGGTTTGGGCCTAATTGTCACATCCTCCAGGTCTTCATGGTAACACATAATGAAGGTTCGTCTTTCTTAGATTAATTAAGATGATTGGACAGAGTGTGAACTCAACTTAGATTAACAGCCCAGTTGTTGACTTCCTGTTAACTCATGTGACTCAACTTGATCCCTTACAATCTATTTAAAAAAGTGGTATCTATGGACACCAGTGCATCCTAAACACCAAGAAGTAAAGATGCTGAGAAATCGCAGGAGGAAGTTGGTTCTTATTCTATTTATTTTTTTTATATCACACCTCATTGTCCCATCTAATGGTCCCCTCCTGTCCACACGTGTTTGCTGTGACCTACCTGTTGTGTAAGATGGACACTGTTTTTTTTTGCTGTGTAAGTGGATATGGTCATGACGGTAGATCTGGCACACTTGTACGTAACCATACACTCCCTGTGTCTGTTCATAAGCAGCAGCCTTCCTCCCTTTTGTCACACTGCTGTTCACTTGAATAGAGACTAATTCGGAGGATCGCCTCATTAAAGGTGGCTCTGAGTTGCCACATACATCCCAGTGTGATGGTGTGTGTGAGAGAGAGCACAGTACAAAGAGCAGCTGGCCATGAGGCAACCTGCATCACCTATATGTGAGGTGAATTTGCATTATAAGGATAAACTTTTGTTGTTGTTTTGCTGAAAGAGCTCAAAACGCTTTATGTTGAGCATTGTAGGACTTGTAGACTGCAACTAATGATTCTCAATAGCGATTAATCTGATTAATTTTCTCACTGAATTGATTTATTATTTTGTCTAATAACTGTTAGAAAATAGAGTAAAAATGCACCAATTGACAGACATGAATCAACAAGTTTTTATAATCAATCAATTCGTTATTTATCAAGGAAGGCTTATCTGTGTTTTGTAAATTGTTTATCATTTGTGGTTTTGGATTGTTGATCAGACAAAACTATGAGGATGTCTTCTCTGGGAAAGTGTGGAGGGCATTTTTCACTATTGGACATTTTCTTTCTATAAATTATAATGATAATCATTCAACAATTGACAGGGGAATCTATAGTGACAATCAGTTGCTGGTCTTGTCATTTTCTTAGGGGTGGTAAAATAAGTACTCGCTATAATCACACTTTGCATGTAAAGGTAATGGCTACGAGTGATTGTAGTGGTCATGTGTGCCCATGTGGATTTTCTTTCTGTGGTGAATTTCGATCATTTATGCCTCAATTATGTTTTGCAGAGTGCAATCCTTCTGCTCGTATCACTCCAGCTCTAAACAAATGTTCTGCAGAGTTCATGCGTAGTTCGAGGTCTTGTGTTTTTCAGGAATCTAGACCCCCACAAAAAAATCCTTTTTAAACAAGAATTGAAATAAAATTACAAACTAACATGTCTAAAACTAATCCTAAAGTTGACACTTGACATTAAAAGTCACTTTTAAAGTAGGTTCACTTTTTGTCAGTCGCCCAAGTTTGTTTGGGGTAATAAGTCATGTAAGTAGTCAGAGAATTTGTGTGTTTAGGCTGAGAGGAAGCTTTATTCTTCACTTTCAACAATGGTACCTGTTACAAACTCAAGAAGTACAACTGTCTACGATAATACCCAGTTGTTAATAAGAGATTATTAGCCGCTCCTTTACACTGACATGGGAGCAGTGCCAAGACTCACTGGAGTGCTGTGTATTCTTTTTAACCCCCTTCCTGCTTCCTCTTTCTAGGTACTTGTTGGATCTTCGGGTCTGTAGTTGAAGGCATGATCTGGATACATGTATCAAACAGTGGCTTGTTTTCAGGTGGACCAAAAAAGTTTAATTCAGTGGAGTTATTAAGGATTTTATACAGTAGACAGTAGGTTAAAAAAATGAGGATAAAGATTTGACTTGTTGCAAAAGTGGTTTCTACGGTTTTGTGCCCACTCTATTTGAGATTTTGTACATAAACACATGTGACATGTAAACAACTGAAATCACAAGTGATGTGTGTACATAAAAATGTAATGCTATGATTTTTTTTTTTTTTTGTTACTGCAGTTAATGGTTACATTATAGATTAATCTGCTCAATACTTTTTTTATTATTTACATTTTAGAGACCAAACCAATTAATATTTTGGTCTCTGAAAATGTCCAATACATTTATTACCAAATTAATCAGGACCTGTAACCAGCAATTATTTCAACATTTTTTGCAAAATGGTTTAAATTGGATCAACTAATTGTTTCAGCTTTACTTTGTGATTGATTGGCCGGCCGAATAACTGGGCTGATATCTGGTATTTTGAGATAATCGTCATATGCACTCTTGAGGCCAATAAACTAAATTTCTGTGGGAAGCCTCGTCAGTGTGGCTGCTGTGGAACAACGTCAGCCGTCCCCCTTCTCAGTTTTAGGAATGTGGTGGAAAATTGAGCACTAAATGTCCTTAGTCACCATTGTCTTTTCTAAACGTTAACATTTTCCTCCTAAACGACAGCTAATTTATTCCAACACCATTACTGGCTAGTGTTATATTGTTATACTGTAAAGAATAATGTATTTGAATGACATCACTTCTGACAAATTGTACACCCCTCCCTTAAACAACAGTTACGTTCTGAAATCTACAGCATGACCCAATGTGTGTTTCTATTTCAATAATTAAAATTCCATCTAAAACGACACGTTACTGGCTGAGATAATATTAGATTGTACTCTGCATGGAATAATGGAATTTTACATGACTTTTCTTAGTTTTGATATCGGCATTATATCGGCCCTACTCTCTAAACATCTGCATTGGCCATTGGAAAGCCCATATTGGTCGACCACTACAAAATATGTCTTGCTGTTTTCACAAGTAAATACAAATTTACTATAACCTTCAGAGGATAAAATATGAAAATTGACAGGATTGCAAAGTGATTCTTACCGCCATATTTAAGCCTTGTAGAACTGATATATTAAATGGAAAGATAAGTTGAAATACTGGATATTTCATCAATTTTAAAGTTAAACTCTGATGTAAATTTGCTTTTTGAATAATAATATTCAAATATTGTCAATAAAGTCTTTGCGGCCTCTCTGAACAACTTAAGCCACTCTCTCAGCTTTGCCCTTTGAATGGCCAATGAGCATGCAAATGTCATCGACTTTACTGCCGACATGCCAAGTTGGCACTTAGGCTTGGACAGGCTTGTCCTTTGATAGCACCATATAAATGCAAAATTGTTACCACGACTATCAGTCACATTTAAAAAGTTTGCTGACATGGCTGACTGAACGATTGTTCCAGTATCCTGGTTTGGTTCAGAGGTAAAGGCCCAACTGTACTGCAGAAAACCCCTCTTGAATGTTTTTTGTAAAATTTTGCAGCCCCTTAAGTGTGTGTGTGTCGTTGAGCCTAAGTCAGTGCAGATCAATGGAGGCAGGCAGACAGGTAGCCATTCACCTCTCCAGTGTGTAATTGTGCAACCGGGAAAAAATAAGACCAAGACAAAAAGGGACCAAACTTGTCGAGACAAATCCTTCAGGCACCGTTTTTCATCTTCCTTTTTTATATTCTTCAAAGGAAAGGGGGTGTGAACCTGACGGCTCGGAAGCAATAAAAACAGTTCACTTAGCTACAGGAAGTAATTATTTATTTGTTCTGTGTTTCTCAGAGCTGCATGGTTTTCTAAACAAAGAAGTGGGATTGATTTTCTAATTGCATTACTGTGTACCTGCGTCATTTTCCAGCTGTTTCTGTTCTGATAATAAATCCGTATATTTGCTCATACAGATAACACCTGCTTGTCTAAGAACACAGAACAGGCTTCTTATCAGATTTGGTTCTCATTTGGCCCTTCTCCATAATTTACATGAGACATGGAAATCACATGACTTTGTTTGCTAAAGCTTTCACAGCGTCCCAGGCTGACTTTAGTGCTTCATTTTCTTGTGCAAGTCTTATCTGTTTGGATCTGGATTGGCCTTTTCAGCAGCAGTCCGATAGCTTGTAGTCATTGTTGCAAGTTGCTAATGGTTTCACACCAACACGGACTTGAGAAAGAAATGGTTTACCATTTTAGGGAAAACGTCAAATTCTACCTTCCAGCATCCCTAAAGCTCATTAATTAAAACTATATAGTGTTTGCTTAATCTGTACAAAAACTTTTGATTTTACAGGGTTATGTGCCAGCTTTTGTTAGGCTACTTATGGCCAGAGCTGTCTTTGTGCCTAGCTACAGCAAGCTAACTAGCTGTAGCTTAATAGTTACTGTACAGACCTAATGTCAAACTAGATCTTTAAAGTACTGTATGAATGCTTTATGTACTTTTATTTATTTATTTATTTTTGTAACCTGCCAAAACACTGCAGTTAGCGTTGAGCTAACTCTGATCCAGTTCATGAAATAGCAACATTTAAATGTTTAATATTTTGCACTTGATCCATTACAAATGAATACATGTAGTTTTACTGTCCAGTTTCCAAAATGCAGAGTTAATTTCCCGCCCTGCTAACTAAACCTTTTTAGTGAAACACTGAGTCTTAATATTAGAAAAATGTTTCAATCAGCCGCTTCAGCCTGAACACCCTGGTTTGTAGGTTGAGAAGGTCTTGTTGTCTAGTAGCTCCATATTCTTGATGATTTCAGAGCTGATACAAATGTTTGTCTTTGTCATTGTTGTGAGAAGTGAGAGGTAAAACTAAAACTGAGTCACATAAAAGGAATTTCTCCATAACAAAAGTCATCGTGGTAAGTGTGTGTGTGTGTGTGTTCGTTCATTTGTCCGTATTTGCATGAGATATGACCATAATAAGCTGGAGGAGAGTAATTTGGTAAGAGGGGCATTAAAAACAGACAGGAGGTCTCCGAAGGATAAATACTGTGTGTGTGTGTGTGTGTGTGTGTGTGTGTGTGTACACACGTGTTGTGTATATCCAGTTTTCATCTACTGTCAACACCTGTGGCCGGG